GGCACATGGGTCAGAACAAAGTTGCATTATGGGTACCCGTGATCCAATTAATTAATATTTATAGCTAAGAAGGTCTATGTAGATATTTCTGAATAAGGATTTTATCAATCAAATCCAATTTCTTGTTTAAAACACTCATTTCTAGAAAAAGAACATTGTAAAAGCTGAAAGCAAGATAAAAGTGGTAGCCGTTAATCTTACGATTTATATACCTGTAAGTGGCTGTGCACCGAGCTCAGCTTATAACTCACACTCGCTGTTCATGAGCATGGTATTGTGTATGCAGTACATTTTAATAATCAATTACTTGTAAGGAGTTTACATCAGTATTATAGTCTGCTTTCTTCTGATCATAGTGTAGCTCCTTTCACCTAAATTTTTATCCATCCCATGCATGACTGCTTTTAGATTTGCAAGAAATTCCCTAGCAGTAAACCAACTTATGTTAGAGGTGCTCATTGCAGCCGGGGCCGGTGCTGCTCAGAGGGTAGAATGGCTCCTGCCATTGGTGAACAACACTAGGCAGGCTGGTTGGCACAATTTGGGCTTTTCACAGTCATCCCACAGAGAGGGGAAAGAATTTAAGTCTCATCAGCACCTCCCCTCCCTTCTTTTCCAATTATTGACTCCTTCTATTAAATGTCTGAGCCCAAACCTAAGTAATAGACTTATCATAATCACCATGTTCACCGTTTATTATCCAATTACTATCATTATGCATTATTCTCTATTATCCAATTCTACTTATGCCCTAGGTTAGGTCCATGTGATATTCCAAGAGATTACACTCAAAGGATCAGGACAATGGCAAGGACAAATGCCATCAGTCACTAAAAGTGTCTTAAATCAACCTAAAGAATAGTACCATGCCATTGACTACGGAGCAACACAGTTTTTTGTCCCATGGAATCAGTTATACTAGGAATCTGACCATTTCTTCCATTTAAAAAATATATATTTAATTTTATCCATTATTATTTTTTAAACTTGATCAGAGAGACATGGGGGGTGGGGGGTGGGGAAGGGAGGAGTGAGAAAGGAAGCCACCAAGTCCAGGACTCAAACCACAGGCAGCCATGTGAGAGTCCAGCACCTCAGCCACCAGGCCACCTGCTGCCCCTCTGACCATTTCTTCTAAACAGAATGTCATTGAGTTAAATAAAGGAAACAGAATTTGGCCTACTGGAAGGAGTTACTTCTACCAGGCACTCTCAGCTGGTGGTGCGTCTGCAGCCAGCCTGCTGTCCACCAGCACCATGCCTTGTTGGCAGCAGCAAGAGTGCAGAGGTTGCCCTAGGAGACCACATACGGGAACTCGAGGTCTGGGAACATATTCCACTCCCAGGTTCATATTTACTTATTTACTTACTTACTTGTTTGTCCATATGTGTATAAAACATGACCAGTGTTTTACATTTGCATAAATCTGACTTAATAAATAGCCACACCATTAAAATAGAGCATTCTTTTCAATCAGGGCTAATTACACATCATATAATGTCTGGTCTTTAATGAGTAGAGTTTACTACTATAGAGAATTAAGTCCATAAATAAAGTTGTTAAACCCCTAAGTACCTAGGCAAGTACAAATCTCTCTGAAGTAAAAATATCACATACATGCACACACACACACACACACACACACACGCATGCACGCACACACACCAGTGAGGATGGCCACGCCACAGTCCCTTCTCCATTCTCCTGTCAGGATTTTGGGCATGCACACACATGTGCTTGGCATGAGTTTTAAGCCACTGGGTTTAGGAGTCGAACCACGGTTGGCCATGTGGGAGTCCAGTGATGTAACCATTACACCATCTGCTCCCCAACTTCCAGGTTTTTAGATTCTGCTTTTTTCTCTTTTCTATTTATCTAACAATTGTCCATTGAGGGCAATAGCCTGGGTTGTGCTCTAGAGACACAGATGTCCACAGTACCAAACTGGATCAAAAGAACATAATGAGACACTTCCTGTCCCTTCACAGGAAGTGTCCCCATACCTCAGGAGGGACTAAATGAAGTCTGTGATTCAGAAGTCAACCTGGGAAGGAAAGCCAGACAAAGACTACATCATCTGAGTGGGGTTGTAGGAGGTCTTTTCCTAGGCAAGCAAATGTCAGGGCACACCCACAGCACCAGTCTGACCAGAGCAGACAGGCTTTGTGACTAAGCTGGACTCTCAACTCTTGTTTAATCTACATGGAAGAAAAGGGACTTTTTGTTGTTGTTATCTCCTTAATAAAAATGCCAAAAGCCAGACAAAGACTACATCATCTGAGTGGGGTTGTAGGAGGTCTTTTCCTAGGCAAGCAAATGTCAGGGCACACCCACAGCACCAGTCTGACCAGAGCAGACAGGCTTTGTGACTAAGCTGGACTCTCAACTCTTGTTTAATCTACATGGAAGAAAAGGGACTTTTTGTTGTTGTTATCTCCTTAATAAAAATGCCAAAGTTGTTAGTGCAATTGTGGATTGGTAAAGATGCCTGTGGATGATGTGTGTTTGAAATATTTCAAGGACAAGTGCTCTCTCTCTCCTTGCTGTCATGGGCTGCAGAAAGGATGTCAGCCCCTAGATAAGAATGCATATCACGGGACCAGCAGTTAGCATAATGGCTATGTTGCTGGACTCCCATGTAGTCAACCCCGGTTCGAGTCCCAGACCCAGTGGCTTAAACTCACACCAGGCACGTGTGCGTGCGTGCCCAAAATCCCAAGAGGACAATGGAGGAGAAGGGATTGTGGTGTGGCCATCCCCTCTGGGGGGTGATTTCTCACTTTCTGTCTCTCTGTCTCTCTCTGCCTTTCCGGCGAGCACACACGTCCTATAGCATAAAATAAAATAAATAAAATAAAATAAAATAAAATAAAATAAAATAAAATAAAATGAAAGAAAGAAAAGAAAAGAAAAGAAAAGGATGCATATCATACGGGAGAAGCAGGTAGAGCAAGGGGGGATTTTCTTCCTAGGGTGGTATGGGAACTAAGGGGATTGTACACATGCAATTGTATTTGCTAAGATAGCGATCCTTTAAGGAAAGGTTTGATAAAGGATATGTGGGCAGCCAAGCAGGGGTGAGGGGTGGCCAAGTGAGCCATGGAGAGCTATCCCACAAGCAGAAGGTACTTGAAATAATAATGAGTGAATTAGGATTTGATGGTAGTAAAAGGCCTATGTGTGATATCCCTATACTCCCAGACCTCTCTCCTTCCCTCAGAAACTTAAGAGCAGGATTTTTGTTTACATTGAACTCAGTCACTAAAGACAGAGAACCTTTAAGAATGGAGGTTATCCCAACTCATACCATATACAAAAATTAACTCGAAATGGATGAAAGATCAAAATGTAAAGCTAACCCTACAGAAGAAATTGTAAGGGTACATTTTCATAACATGAGATTTCAAAATTGAGTTTTAGATATGACATCAAAAAATCAAATAACAAGAGAAAAAATGATTAATTAAACTTCAAGAAAGTTTATGGAACAGGATAATATATTTGCATGTCATATATATGGTAAGAGGTATTAAAATAAACAATAAACAAGTCACATAACGTATGGTTTCATGTATATGAAGTATCTAGGGTAGGTAAATCCATAGAGAGAGAAAAAAAGATGAGTGGTTGCCAGGGGCTAGGGGAAGGGAAGAATGGAGAGTGACAGCTAAAGAAATACAGAATCCTTGGGGATGATGGAAATGTTTTGGGACTAGGTGGAAATGACGCTGTACAACATTGTGAATGCCCTAAATGCCACTAAATTATTGGGTCATCGGAAAAGTCGTGACCTGTTGTTCTATGCAAAAAATGCAATATATACTTTGAGATGGTTCATTTAGTTTCATGTATTTCACCTCAATAGATTAAAAAAGAAAGAACATAAGATTAGCATTCCAAAAATCGTCATAGTAAGTCGAGGAACTGAGAAGGCGGGGGAGATGCTATCTTAACAGTTCCCAAGTGTAAGACTGATTGAACCTTTTTGCTCTCCTGGTCAGCGTACTGCTGGGTTGTGGCCATGCAGAGGCTTTGTCCTTGATGCCACAATCCTGTGTGCACGGCCACAGGGAACTGCCCCAGGAAGTGTCAAAGCAAGGCCAAAACCTACTCGATCCAGATCTATCCAGGGTTTCGTCTAGACAGATGAGAGTATGACACTGTCGATGGGGACAGGCCAGCCTGACCAGGCTTCAGTGACCACAAGCTTCTGAACCTAGATGATGAGTGGGTTCTGGAACTCAGTGGAGCTGATGGAATGCATTTCTGCTGTGTGACATGACATGAGAGTGTTTCTCTCCACTTTTCTTGGCAAGACAGTCTTTTCCCATCCTCAAGACTCAATGAATATGTATAAGGGCTACGAAGGAATGGAATAAACACTCCCTCTTTGCCCTTAAACTGCTCACCTGCAAGTAGTTACCAACTTCCAAGCAGACATCATTGGAAATGGACAGCCGTGTGTAGGATATTGGGAAAAGTTTGCCAATTCAGGTCATACTGGCCAATTTTTATTCTGCTGAAGCTAAAATAACTGATAATAGGCAACTAAGGAATTACATAGACTGAAGTTATTTAAAGCATGTATGTGATCCACTTTTCCATTTCATATTCCTAAAAATGAACACAATGATATGTCCTTTTAATGGTCGGTATGGTGCTACAGGCACTTAATTAAGACCTGTACTACCACTAATGACTTAGGAAAGGAAATTTGCTGAATTTCTTTTCTCTAAATAATCTAAGAGGAAGTTAGACCATTTGAATTCGTGGAGTTAAATGATCTTAAGGAAGGAAAATGGAGCTCGAACATTTGTTTATTATATTATAAAAATTTTTTTGGTTAGGGGATAATTCTGCCTCAAATATATGTGTATGGGATAGTCGTGGAGAACACTGATGGGCTCATTGTGGCCTGACCAATTTTGATGTCTCGTGTAATTTAGAAAAAATGAATGATGTAATTTTTATATAACAATGTTCTCTTTTCCTCCTTTCAGGATTAAGTTGTCATCATTCTAAGAAAGAAAAAAAAAAGACATTAATGAAGTGGCCAATAATACGAAGGGAATCACGGATCAGTTTCCTTTCACTCCCTGTGGTGGATTTCACTTACAAGAAAATTGAAGCTGGCAAGACCCTGTTTTCTCTGCAATTTATTTAAAACCTTGCACGCATTTGGATACCTTGTGATTTCCAAGAACTATGTGAAGATTAAGCTTTGCTTACTGATACATGGCATGTATTCTTTTCAGTCTTTTGTGTTTGATTTTGTTTGATTTCCCTCTGCAGCGCAGCGTCTCTGTAAAGGTTTTTATGCTTTCACCAGCCATGTCTTAAATACATTAAGACAACACATTCGGTGTTCACACTTCCTCAGTAACGTCTGTACTTGAAAGCCACATAGTGGCATAAAACAATGTGTGTTTTCTTTGAGAGCAGTGCACATTTTGCAACCACTAGGAGAGAAATTTTTCGATAAAGCAAACCCCTGTTCTGACTGACTCAACAACTTGGTCCCTGACTGTGGGGCCCCACCTGTCGCTTATCTTTTGAGGACATTTGCACATGTGGGTTTTTTTTTCCTTGGAAATCGCTGTGCATTTATATAGGATATTGGAATCTGCTTAGCATTTTCAAGTCACATAGCATGACAGTTTTCTGAATTGGTTGGAAGTGAAGAAACAAAAAATCAAGCATTAAGAACAAAGACAGGGATCAATTGCTTACTTTGCAACCTCTGGAGATTGAGGTAACTTTTTACATGTGTCTGGGTCTTGTCAACATCTTATTTTTTTCCATCCACTATTATACTTTGTGTTTTGAAACTGGATAAAAAAAAGCGAGGAGCAGCGTGTTCAAAACTTGGGTGCAAAATAATTGTATTTGCTGGAAGAGCCCCTTGGTTAATGCTTAAAAAGCAAATTACAGATTTTCCAGTGTCAAGAGTTTGCTATGTTACAACAAGCACCTTGGAATGACGTGTTTTTATGTTTTGCTTTTGTTTTTGTTTTTGTTTTCAAAAAAAAAGAATAAATAAACATTCCAAACTGATTGGAAGACATCATTGGGCTCCTTACTTGAAACAGCCTCCTGGAATAAATGTTCAATGCAGGTTTTAGAAGTGACATAGAACTCTTGCTTAAAAATGGAAAGGGGGGAAAGAAAGGCCCAGCTTTCCTTGTTGAAGAAGCTGATGGACCTTGGTGGATAAAGGCGAATAGGGGACACAGGGCAAAGTAGACTGAGCATGTGTTGTGCTTTGTGCAGAATCCCAGTGACCCTGAGGCCGGGGGCAGTTAGGAAATGCCATCTACAGCATGAAGCCTGGCTCCTCTGGACTTAAGTCCCTATGGCAATACCTTCGTATCCATTGTTCTACATTTCCCTGTTCATCAGAAGGGAGGAGAGACTGAGAGCTGGAAGTGTGCCACACGTTTTTAGGATCAAGACTAGGAATTATGAGCCAGTTTGTTGACAAGGCCTTTTTAATGATCAAACCCACTATACCTAAGAAATTAGACCCAGAACTCCTCAACTTTAAAATGACACTGTCTCTGGAGTGCGTTGTGAGTGGATGTGTCCAGGTCATAATCCATCCTACCTAGAGGTACCATTTATTGTAAATGTCTAAGTGCTAAGCAAGGAATTCTTTACTAGTTGATTGTTTTTCAACAGAATGATAAGCACCAAGGCTAGAATGTTTACTATCTGCTACCTAGAAACCTTTTTCATACATTCCAACCCACTGGAAAACTTTAGAGATACTTTGATTTAACGTATACTTAAATTAGAATTTCATAAACTAGGGGGAGAAAACTTGACATGCAATTAAAATGGCTTTGCCTGCGACGTGCTTTGACTCATTCGTTGGGAGGAGAGGCATAACTTTTGTATTTCACTAAGCCTAAATGAAGAGCAATCTGATGATTAAATCTTGCTATTTCATAAGGTTTCTAATGTAACATTTTGAAACTATGCTAATATTGAAAGATTTCAGTTAGGAATATTAGGGTCATTTGAGATATATGCCCCTGCCAGGCAGCTTTTCTTGGGTAGAGAAACAATACTACACAGTGGGAGGGAATCTATTTTAGCACAGAGACATACCTCTCAGAGGTTAGATGGCTTTGAGTTCCCCATCCTTGCCATCCTCAATACAGAAATCCAAAGTTCTGCTCACTCGCTCTCTCTCCCTGCTCCCTCCCTCCTTCCCTCCCCCTTTCCTCCTTTCCTTTTCCTTCCAGTTCCCTGTCCTGTTTGCAATCACATTCTCCTTCCTTTTTCTCCTGCCCTCCCTAAGGGCAGCCATGGAAATCAATGCAGACTGTTCTTTAGCAAATTTTTTTATTCTATCAAGAAAGCACTGGAATGTTTTGTGAGATTATTTTTATATGAAGGAGTAGCTTGGATTAAAGCAGCTGGTAGGAAGAGCACGAATACCCTAGCACAGTGACTGTATCAAAATGACATCACTGCACACATATTATTCTGAAAGGAGCTTTGGGGCTTGATTTCCATTTTCTTAAGGGAATAGTTTGATCAACTTAGAAACACAAGATACAAAGGATATGAAAAATATGTTTGCAGTGCTCAGAAAAAAAAAAAAAAAAAAGAGGCAAATGACAGGAGTGGCTGTCCATCCACTAATGCAAGGGTGAGAAGCTATTTCTACCTCCCAAGGGTGATTAGAAGTTTCCAAGGAAGCCTCCAGGCTTGCAAAGAAAGCAAGACCTCTTGGTAACCTTTCCTAAGTGTGTATATGACAGTGTAATCCATACCCTAGGTTTTGCATCTACATAAGATACTCATCTGTGAATATTATTGGTTTTGTAATCTTTGTTATATAAGAGAATGTTTAGGCTGTACATACTGGGGTAGAATTTTGCCTGCCCCCTATACATAGGAATGTGCTACATTAATTGCGCATAACTTCCATCTCCTTTATGGCTTATAGGCAGAGGAAACTGTATATGTTATTGCTTTGAAATTTACTCATACACCCCCCAACAAATTTCAAATAAAATAATCTTCTATTTTAATTTCCACAGCAGCATATTTTAAGGGCACATACGAAACCTACATTCTCTAAGTGGGAGTGGATTTGTTTTCTCTCTATATATTTTATTTTATTATCGACTGCACTGAGATGTGTACTTTCTAACAGGAAGTGGATACCTACAAAAAGTGCTAGTATCATTCAGAAAACTGTTATACTCCAAAATGACACATAGTAAGGAGAATGGAATAATAGCAGTTGCATACTTGTTACCAATTGTCATTTGTCTGTATTATGAAAGATGTAATGGTTTGTCAACTGTCACTGTTGTTTTCTTGTAACATGATATGGAATAAAGTATAGCAGAATCTCCAAACCTCTCAATACGTATTCTTTCTTGGCAAGTGCCCGATAATATTATACACACTATCAAGGAAACATCGACTTAAAAACTCTCCAACACAAACGTTCTTAAAAAGCAAAAGAAGAAACCAAACCTAATTATGTGGGATGGGGTGAGTTAGCTGGAATGTACCAAGAAGCGGCTAAGCCCTCTTCTTCCCTTGATTTCTAAGACAGATTAATGGAAAGGAGTAGAGACCGTGCAGCACAAGTCTGTGAGCTGCACAGTTCCCTTGCTCCTCACTGGTGTTCAGCACATGTTCCTGCATCTCAGATGCATCTGGAGCCTGTCTGGTTTTGTTTAACGACACTCCTATTTATCTTTCATTGCCTTTTTCTCTTTTTTTTTTTTTTTTTTTTTTTGCATGTAGTCTAAGATGGGATGGGCTACCCTCCACTGAATACAAATAAAGCTTGAGTATGCAGATACTCTGACAGAAGCGTGACTGCTGTCTTGCTGAGCGGACTGTACTCCCTCCCGTGAAACCATCTAATGGGTGGCCCCATGTGAATGGGCATCTGGGTCTGCATTAGGGTTGATAGTGCCAACGTGGGGGTTGGGGAACAGTCTTTTCTATCACTTCCTTCTCCTTGTGTGATCTGTCCTAGCCCCTAACTCCATGATTTGATATATTGCTAGTAATGTTCATGCCAGAATAAAGTAACCAATTTATAGATAGGCCATATGGTCATTTAGAAAGGACAGACTTGTGGTCAGCAAATGATGTAGCGGTTACATCTCTGAACTCCCACGTGGGCAACTGCAGTTTGAAAACCACTCAGGGTGCGTGTGTATGCATGTCCAAGATTCTAGGAGAATAGAGGGGAAGAGATTGTGGCATGGCCATCCTCCCTGGGGTCGGGGGTGGTGGTGGTGGTGAGTTTTCACTTTCCTTCTTGCTGTGTCTGTTTCTGGTGGGCACATGCACCCTATGGCAAAGTAAACTTCTAAAAAAAGAAAAAGACTTTGATGCGCCAGGAGCAGCCATCTCCTCTGCTAGGCCGTTTTCTCCCCCTTGCTCTTCGCCCATCACCTCCATGATTTTGCAGTGTGTGAGCCCTTCCCCAAAGTAACATCACACAAAATCAGACATGGAATTCTCAGCCGATGCATATTCCACTCCAAAACAGCTCGTGAGAGCTAAGCTATTATCAGCTCCAGCTGCATCTTCTGTTTCTCCTGCAGTAGGAGGTCACTCACACCGAAGGCGAACACATTGTCAGATGGTCGCTGCCGCCACCACTGACTTGGAGAAGAGATCGCGTAGAGGTCGACCGCACGGCCGCCAAGGTAGAGATAACACCCACATGTCTCAATTGGATAGGAACCATACATACCCTAGAAACTGGTTACAGTTACAATGTGAAAAGAATAACCTGTTCCAGGAAAGTGTTTCAAGGGAGGAGAGCATATAGCAGTTTCTTTTCCAAACGGCTACCCTAAGTCATATGCCCATGCCAAGCCCTCATTTTAGAGCTCGACTGTGTCTCTGGTTGATAAAATCACATGATGTATTAATAAAAGAAAGAAGGGGAGTGGTGAGCTGGTCCCTACAAAAAGCCAAAGAACTGCCTTTGAGAAGTACTTCTTATGTAGCGTGGCGGCACAGGTGCAAGCATCCTCAGTCCATAATCGCGCAGTGTCCTTGTCTTTTCCATGGGGGCTCCTCTGGCCCTGCCAGGTTGCAGGATGTGTGATGATGCGTGCTCGTCGAGGCAGAGTCAGGAGGGCGGATCTCCTCCAGTCACTCTCGGCCCCCAGAGGAAAGAGAAACCAGAGGGGAAGGTGTTGGAGCAACCTCGTGCCACCGGGTTAACACGTACAGTTGTGGAATAATGGCGGGCATTGTAAATCTCTGCAATGAGAACCCCACCGTGGCCCAGCGGCCTGCTGCTACCAGTGGGTGGTGGCGTTATGGGCATTAGCTTTGAGAAGCTTATACAGCAGAGGGGGCTAGGATAAAGGATACAAATCAGGAAAAAACTGACAAGATTAAAAAAAAAAAAATCCAAGGCCCCGTATTTACTGTTCATCCCCCATGCTCTCCGTGTGCTATATTGTCTGCGTTGAGTCCTGCTGAGAGAGAGCCAGGCACAATAATAGCTCAGAGCAGCCTCGCAGCCCTGGAGCCATCCTCTGCCAATGGTGCTAACTGTGCTAGTGGAGAACGGATTCTGATAGAGTTGTCTTTTTTTCTCCTTCCCGGCAAGACCACCAATAATTATGGAGGGCATGCTGCAAAGTTGGCCTAAGGGTTCCCTGTTGGGGTGTATCCTGAGAAGAGACCAGCAGGGGCCCCTGCAAAGTCTGTGCTACACAACCCAAGGCGTGTCTGCCTGACAGATGCAGACAGTGCTGGAACGTCCAGGGACACATGTTTGAGCCAGCCGTTCAAGGGTTTACAGAAATTAAAATGAAACTTCATTTTAGAAAACTCACTCCACTAATGAAAAAGATAGAGAGAGAAAGAGACTCTTTTTTTTTTCTTTCACTATTGGGCACGTGCGCTCACCAGACAGAGAGAGACAGAGAGGCAGAAAGCGAGAAATCACCCCCCGGGGGGATGGGCAAGCCGTAATCCCTTCTCCTCCATTCTGCTCTCGGGATCTTGGGCACGCACACACACGGCGTGAGTTTTAAGCCACCGGGTCTGGGACGCGAACCATGGTTGACTACGTGGGAGTCCAAGCAACATAGCCATTACGCTAACTGCTGGTCCTGAGACAGAGGCTCTTAACAAGGGCCTGATGTTATGAGACACTCCCAGCCTCAGCCAGCCCAGGTCATGGCCACACGTGTGCCTAGCATACTCAGAGATGTCTCAAGACAAGAACTGGTGACCTTCCCACGTGGGTCTGTTTTGCAGAACATGGCATTTTAACACTACATTACCACCCTGCCCCAAACCAGCTTTATAAATTATACTACAGTGAGAAAGACTCTTTTCTCCCCCTCCTCTTCAGCCAAGTCTGCTATCTGGGTGCCTTCCTTGCTTTCTCGAAGAAAGGCTGTGATCCACAAAGATGCTTGCAGAAAGCAGGGGTGAGTCCTGCACCCACCTTGCCTGACATTTGGGAAATTCAGACCCTTGTGTATGCATTGCCTTAACCCAGTGACTCTCAGCCCTGACTCTTATTTGAATCACCAGGAAGTTTTTAAAAACACCTCCACCCCATACCAGTTTGTGCTAGAAAGGCTGAGGGTGAGGCCCTGGCGTTAGTCCGTTCGGGAGCTCAACAGGTGATTCTATTGTGCAGCAAGCGTGAGAACTGTAAGACTCTCCCTTCCTCCTGCCAGTCTGCTGCTGAGGGAGACTCGGCACATTTTTTCTGTAAGGACCAGAGTGCAGATCTCAGACTTCCCAGTCCATAGTATCTGTCATAACTATGACCTTGGCCATCATACTGTGAAAACAGCTATGCACAACACACACGTGAATGAGCAGGGCTGCGTCCTGGTAACACAGCTTGTAGACATTGACATTTAGGCTTCCCCATGCCATGAGTGGTGTTTTTCTTTGGATTTTTAAAAAATATTTATTAAATTTTATTTGTTCATTCATTTATTTTAATTTAACCAGAAAGAGACAGAGAGAAAAAGAGAGAGAAAGTGAGAAAGCAAGCCCCCAGGTCCAGGACTGGGACTGTGCTCAGCCATGTGGGAGTGTCCAGCGTCTTAATCACCATGCCACCTGCTGGTCCTTGATTATTTATTTATTTATTTTTTAAGAAAGGGAGATTTTTGCTGTAGGGTATACATTCACTTGCCAGAGAGACAAAGAGAGAGAGAGAAAGTGAGAAATCACCTCCCAGGGAAGATGGCCATGCCACAATCCCTTCTCCATTCTCCTCCCAGGATTTTGGACACACACACACATGTGCCCAGCACGAGTTTTAAGCTGAAACCCATACAGTGGTCAGTCATGTGGGAGCCCAGCGATGTAACCACTGCGCCATCTGCTGGTTCCTCTTCTGATTTTTAAGAACTATTTTAAAAAGTAAAAACCATTCTCAGCTCATAGATCATATTAAAAATGCAGTGGATAAGAATAGCCTGGGGTCTGAAGTTTGCTTACCTTGGTCAGAATAGAGTCCTGATAATGAGAAAGGTAAAGACCACCCCTATCATTTTCAGGGCTCAAGGTAAGAGTCAAAATGAAGGTCCACATGCCATAAACATAAATATTTTAAATTATCAATCAGACTAGAAAATTTTTAAATATATTCTAGTCTCTTACCTAGACAAATAGGCCTTCATAATGACCTAGAAAGCCAAATTTACCCTTAGAATTCTTGGAGTTCTCAAAGTTCTTCAGTAAAATGAGGCAGTGGGGGCCAGCAGGTGGCGTGGTAGCTAAGGGTGCTGGACTCCCACATGGCCAACCACAGTTCAAGTCCTGGACCTGGTGGCTTGCTTTTTCACTTTCTCTCTCTTTCTCACTGTGTCCCTGTCTGGTCAAATTAAAATAAATAAAGTCAACTAAAATAATTCTTTAAAAAAAAATAAATGACGCCGTGCAGGGAGAGCCAGTCCAGTTTGAGAACTACTTGTTTTTTACTCCCATTCTCAGCTCCACCCA